ATCCTGCTACAGGAGCTTCCACATCAGCATGTATACATCCACCTTCAGTAATTAACTAAATAGTCCCCTAAACATCAGAAGAACCCCGCTCACCAGAGCTTCTACTCCTACCCAACATGGCAGCCTCTGTTCTGCAGCCATTCTGCCTCTCAACCAAGTTGTCTCCTCACACAATGACTTGTATCTCCTAAAGCTGTTTGTACTCATTCCCTCTTCCAAAGGCCATTTGTGACTAGCTGCAGTGGTGGATGGCTCTGTCCTTGTTCCTCCACTTCATGTCCTCAATCTCCTCACAGAAGATGCTCTTGGGAATGAAGAGCAAAGGAAAAGAAAACTTGTTGCTCCCAGGAAAGTTGTTTTCTCTTGAGTTCTAGAAGAGAAATTTCACTTGCCTCTTACAATGACTCAAACTGGGGAGAAATAGAATAAATAACAGGGCAGGGATTATTTCTTTTTCCCTTCCAAGACAGGTCAGAAATCAATGAGAAATTTATTTCCTGTCATTATGGCACAGATTCCATTTTCAGCTAAACTTTTTTTATCTATAAAGATAGAGCAAGACTAAAATTTACAATAGTATTAGGAAAAAAAACAAAGGCTTCACATATCACAAAACAAATCATAAGAGTGATAAATTTAAAAACTCCTCCATCCCAGCTCCAAGCTTGCAAAAAAACAAGTCAAGAAGAGATTACAGAAAAACTGTAGTTTTCCTCTATGGTGGTTGGTAAATCAAAATGCCAGTGAGCGTTTCTGGGCATTGGAATTCAATCATCTGTACTGTATATGATTAATTTTAGAATAGCCCTTGTACAGCTTTTGCACAGGCCAATAGCTAGTAATTTTCAGATACAGTTTGGGAACGACCATAGGCCAAGGACTGTTCTCAGTTGGCCATCTGTATATGGCCACCCCATATGGAAAGCCAAAAATAAATCTTCCTAGACACCTTACAAATGAGCCCAGAGAAATACTGGAAAACAGTATGAATGTTGGTCATTCATTGCCTCAGTACTAGCAAATAGTCTCAGGCACATAAAATTTCCAATGATAGATAGAGCCATACAGATGCAGCCAAAAACCAGTGGTACAGTCTGGCTAAGGTTGCTTAGGATAGGAACACCACCTGACCCCACAAGGAAAAAGCAACAAAGAGAAAAAGAACAAAGAGCTTCTAAGTTGGATGGGTTTTTCTACATAAGACATTTATCAGAACTGAGTTGCCAGCATCTTCAGACATGTGAGGGAGCAGGTCCTAAAGGGTCACTTGGATGTCAGGAAATTATTCATCCACAGAGACATGCACAGAACATTATCCTCTCCCAAAACTCCACAGATGCTCAGCTGAAATAATTCAATACCTTCAAAGAAGACATGACAAAGTATTCATATCATGAATTATGTCATTTTTAGGCCGTCCTAATTTACCTCAGTAAGAAAAGATTGAGTCAGCAGATAGTGTCCCAATGATCTAATGTCAAGAGTTTTTATATGGTCTTGATTGGACAGCTTCATTTATGTAATAGTTTGGTCTTTGTCTTTCCCCTGTTCTGCCATACACACAGAGGCCTCTACCAGTTCTCTGGAAGAAACACAACCCCACCCATTGTACGCACACAGCCACAGCAATGCCAGAACTGCACTCCAGCTCATTTTGATTTGCCATCAGAGAAGGGGCAGAGGTGGGACAAAGGGGATGAGGAGGGGAAAGTGGCTGCCCCGCCAACTAGACTAGTGTGTCCCAGCACAGACCCAACCAGTCCCTCCACTTGCCTTATATCCCCCTTCTGCCACTGGCTCTTCACCTGGCTGCCAGGAGAAAGATCATTTAGAGGGAGAGAAATGGTGTGAAGAGACAATGTTAAAATCTAATTTTCTTTGGGCTTTTCATACTCTATTAAGATTATTCAGCTTCCTTTCAGTTCATGAAGTGAGAGTGTCCAGCCTGATAAGCATCTCTCTGAGCCAAAAAGTGGATTAAGAACTTGGAAACAGCCCCTTGGTGTATATCTAAAGGAAATACAACGCTCAGAACGATTTGAATATGATGCTAAATTTTGTGGGACAGACAACAGGACAAATCTGTACAGACTCAGCATACAGTTCCTCCCTGGAGTAGTATCTGAGAACTACAGACACAGGAAAGTATCTTAGAAACTGAAAAAATAAAAAAATAAAAAATACACACCTATAATTTTCAGATGTATGATTGGATAAAAAGAGCTTTGAACGAACATAAAAACTTTAGCAAGAACATGTAAGAATGTCTGTGCTGTGGTAAATTGACTTCCAGCAAAGCACCTTGTTCAGCTAACACTATCAGATGCAGCAAGCATCTGAAAAAAAGAAGCTAAAAATTGTCAGGAGGATAACCAGAAGATACTGGTTTTGCACATGCGGGAACTCTTGATATTGAATAAACAATAATGCTTGTCATAGCAAGTGTGCCATGGATTACAGAATAGCACAATCATGACAACTGTCACAGAGTCACCTTATGGAAAGCTTAAAGCAACAAACATTTCAAGCAAAACAAAACCAAAACAACAAAACAACCCCAAACTAAACCCACCATTCCAGCAAGGAGCAGAATAGTCTTCACTGAATAGA